GTAAGCCCAAGGGAGCAAAGGAGGATCACCGTTTTGTAACTTAGAAGCCAAGCAGAAACTGGAGTGAAGGTAACATTATACCTATGTGATTACTTTGCTGCCATGTTTCTCTGGGTTTGTTAGAAGCTAATTAGAGCAATTCTTGTCTGACTATGAGGTGAAGAAACTGGGAGAACAAAATTTGAGACTGTTGTTACTCCACTGTCAGGAGATAGCAAACACATTTAAGTCCTCTGTGCTTCAAATGCACCTTTTGAAAGGGATCTTGCTTTTTATCTAGCTGCAGTACTTTCCACAGAGAAATGAGGAGGCTTTATCAATTCATGTTTGCACAGCCGTTTAAGGTCCCTGAAAGGCAGCATTAAGTATTGGTAAGACTATTTTCTTTTAGTAATGTTTTGCCTGCTTACCAAAACTACAAGCATTGCAAAGAAAAAGATAATTTATCCCCCTCCTGTGTTTGGTATGTTACCTTTCTATTTCTTAATGCTCACTGCATTCACACATTTACCTTTGGTCTTAAACATCATACAGATGAGAAATTAATGTTAAAAATGGATTCTGTATGGCAGGGTTGTTCAGGGTCATTTTGTTACTTGACATTGGGTCAGATTCTGCTCTCTTTATATCTATCATGGCTTCATTGAGCATAGTAATTTTGGAGATGTTTAGATGGTGTATCAAAGTAAATTTTTTGCATCTGAAAAAAAATTTTGAAGTGTGGTCTACTGTGTACTGTAGGGTTTAATCCACTGCAAATTCAACAGAACTTTTTGCAAAGAGCTACTTAGGAATACTGGGAAGGGTGCACCAGACAGGAGGGCGAAAGATAGTCAAAAAATACTGATTAAACTAAACTAAAAGTACTTATTAAACTAAACTGAAGCTATCCAAAGACAACTTTCCTGAAAAAACTTTCGTGAAGAATGTTTTCTTAGTTTTCTTTCTCTTTTAGCCCAGCCAGCATGTCCCCACAGGCACACACCCATCCCAGCACCCGGGACACCGCAGGGCCGGGGCCCACAGCCACAGCAAGGACAGGTTAAGCTGAGCAAACGCCCTCCTTCAAGATCCATATTTCTCCCAATTGATTGAATACAGTATTTCAGATATTTAGTATTCCTCTACATTTACATGGCTGCAGGCATGACAGCTGAGGTTTGATTAATAACCAGAAACAGCAAAATTTCCAGTACTGTGGAATGGAATAGATTATGTCCTATAGTATTGATTTATTAGTAATTTTGTTAATATTTTCTGCTTTGATGAAACTCTCATTTTTGCATGGGATTTTTCATTTTCATTTACATTGTTCAGATTCCAACCAAGATACTGTAAGTAAAAATAATCATTAAGTTTCCAGCTCAATCATCAATAATAATTTTGTTTCCAGCTCTTCTGACAATCAGGTATGCAAATTATCTGAACAATATGGACACAAACCTTTTAAAACGTCTTTCTCTTCTGGTGTATGATAGCCACTTCAAGCAAACTTCTCTCTTAGGATGTTCCGTATCACTATTTCTAGCACTATTTCTGTTTTTTAGATGCTGAAAAACAAAAATTCTCAAAGATTAGCATAAGACTTTAGTCCGATCAACCAGAAAAATACATCATTTCGGCTACAACTGTCTCCTCATTTACCAAAGTCTCCATACAGAAACCTGGTTTAACTTCTATTTAACATGCAAGCATAGAACAAATCTCTTTGCTAACTAAACTAACCTCACATAAGCATTAATATACATTTTTAAAGTGAGAAGTAAACCATATAAGAGGCAAATACCAGAAAAAAAACCCCACAAATATTCATAAGAATATTTCATCAAATATGTTTTCATTACATGGAGACCTTATTTATATTAGCTGCTCATCAACCTTACAGTTGATTACTTACCAAAACAACTTGTAAAATGCAAACTTTTAATTAATACAGTATTGTCTGTATCTCCACCTGACTTTTTTTTAATAATTATTCCCAATCTGCAAGAAGAAACTACACCGTACGAGTCATGTGTCCCATAAATCAGTTCGAATACCAGAATTTCTCAGCTAACTGTCTATAGTACCCTGCAGACCAAGAGTTATTTCCTAAAATAATTCAACACATAAAATGAATAATGTTGGTGGAAAAACCCATCATTGCTGAAAGAAAATTTAAGAGCAAAGCAAGAAACTTAGCCATTTGAATAAACCATTCCCCTGCTAACTTTAAGGGACATTTATGGTCCCTGCTTAAATTGAAAAAAGTTTGTATGTGCTGCCAAAGAAGAGTATTCTTAAATATTGTGATGAAATTCAGCTACGGATTCAACAGCAATGGACTTCCAGCTGCCTAATGAAAAGCTTGCATGGTATCATAGAGGATGTCTTCTCAGAGCCAGACTGCCCTATGGAGCAATGCACATCAAATGTCCCTAAAAAAGACAAAGCAAAGTGCTCGAGTGTGCAGTGTTACTTCTACCAAAATGAGAAATTTTGAAAGATGCCGAAGACAAAGCAGAAGTCATTTTTTGCAAGAGGCTCTTCTATCTCAGTCTGTGTTTGACCTACGGTGCATACCAGCGGGCAGACCAAATCCACCAAATTGCTCACAAAGGAACTGTTAACTTATCAAGGAGGCTGGACTAGTATTAACAAGGAATCCACTAATGAGGAGTTACAGGAAGTGAAGCCACCTCAAAATCTAAGAACAGAAAGATGGATCTGCTGAGTGGAAGGGGTAGCTTAAGTTTCAGCTGAAATGTGCATATATTTAAAAAGATTCAGTCTAGCACTTTCTGTATTAATGACCAAGCTTTCAAACAAGGCCTGAACTGTGAAACACATACAGGCCACCTACTTCAAAGGAGAGTTTGCATTTGCTGCATGGATCCTCAGGAATAATCAGGATATTACCACAGTCCCAGAGTTCCTATACAGATAAACTGTACGCTCATTATGAATTTGAGCCTTCAATTTCCGATAAGCAGTGCCCCTGTATGAGGATACCAAAAGTCCCAGAGTTGCTGTTGCTAGTAATCATTCCCAGCAACAGGAAGAGAAGTACCCTGAGGAGTTTGACATGGCAGGCTCCGAATTGAGCGTTAATAAACTGAGAGGCAAATACTAGGAAAACGTTACTGGGAAGACACAAAATTTCTCTTTACAAAGTAGATTTATACTGAGACCAGTATGCTTTAGTGGAGATTTAAGTTAAAAATGCTTTCTTGCAAGGATGTTTGTAAATGTATCACTTCCAGTGAAACAAATGGCAACTGAAGCGGGCAGTATTGTCCTCAGTTTTCCCAACTAATTTCTTCATTACAGCAGTACAGATGTTCCCTGTACCAGAGCAACAAGAGAAAATGACTTTTTAAACACTACAGTCTGTTTTTTCCAAAACTATAGCCTCTACTAGTTGACGTTAACCAACTGGTTTCCTTTGGTTATCATGTTTTGTAATTTTCTGAATAAAAGACAGACCTATGCAATCACAACAGAATCACATCAACGCCTTCCAGTTTCTAGTTGTAGAATGTTCACGTACACAAATAAAACAAAGCAAAACAACTAAATCTTGCTCATTTTTCTAAAAATATTTGGAGTCAAAGTAAGCGCATAAAATACAAAAAACTAGCTAAATAAAAATTTTATATGAATTCATAAAACTGTATAAAACACAGCTTAGCTCTTAAAAAGCAACTTCAAAGCCACCTTATTTGGTCATTTTCTACACAATCACGAAGAAGAACGAATGTTCCTCAGCTTATGTACAACCATGTAGAAGAGAGAAAAGTACAGGAAAGCAAAATTTCATGGTAAATAAAATCTTTTTACTGACAATGATGCTGCACCATGGGATAACACTGATTGCCTAGTTACCAAAGAGTAATTTTGGAAATGTCTCAGCACCTTCC